GAGATAGAGTTTAATTCTTGATGCCCAGGCAGGAGTGCAATGCAGGATCTTGGCTCACTGCCACCTCCACCTCCTGGGTTCAAGCGATTCTCCTGCCCCAGCCTCCCAAGTAGCTGGGATTACAGGCATGTGCCACCATACCTAGCTAATTTTGTATTTTTAGTAAAGACAGGGTTTCACCATGTTGGTCAGGCTGGTCTTGAACTCCTGACTCAGGTGATCCACCCACAGCAGCCTCCCAAAAGGCTGGGATTACAGGAGTGAGCCACTGCACCATGAGTGAAACTATGTATCCATGAGTGGAACTGCTCAGTCTTCATGCATGGGTATACATGAACTTAGTAAGACTGAAGTGACTGAATAATGACAGATGCCTACAGATTCCAGAAGAGCTGCACCAATCTACCATCCCATCAGCAGTGCCTGAGGGTTCCTGCATCCCCAGGAGGAGGCACCTTCTAAAACAGGCATCTGCCTACATCTGTCCCCTGCTTAGCATCCCACAGTGCCTTCCCACTCCTCCTGGATGAAGTCTCCCTCCTTAACACAGCCTCTAAGGCTTCCGTGGCTCTAGCCTGAACTCCTTGCCCCTCTGTCTCTCGGCTCCATGTACTACAGGTCTGTAGTTGTTCCTTGGTCCTGTGTGTCCTGCTCCCTTCCATACATGCTCTTTCCAAACCCCCTGCAGGGGAGTTTCTTCCCTGGGAAGCCTTATCTGACACCTTAACTAACCCCCTGCTCGTCTATGTACCTCCTCTGGACGCCCCATGCTGACCTGCTGTGCTGTTGGTGTCTTTATATGTTTCTGACACTTCCATTAGACCAAGTTTCTCAACCGTGGCACTTTCGACAATTGGGATGGGGAACTCCCTGTTGAAGGACTGCCCTGAGCATAGGAGGATGTTTAGCAGCATCCCTGGCCACTACCCATCAGATGATAATAGCACACCCCCCAGCCCCCACAAGTTCTAACAGCCAGAAACGTCTCCAGACGTTGTTAAATATTACCTGGGGATCAAAATCACCCCGGCGGAGAACCACTGCATCAGCCTATGAACTGCTAGGGCCTGGCCTGGCGCTGGGTCTTGTTCATGTGTGTATCATGGCACCCAGAGTGGGGCTGGCCCAGGTTAGGTGTTCAGTAAATGCTGCGAGAATCTGTGGTGGCCCCTTACTGGGCAAAGGCCCAAGGGCAGGACTCAGAATTCAGGGTTTGGAGATATGCATGATGTTGTGGGGCTGTGGCTGTCTCTTCTTTCTCTTTTTTTCCTTTCCCTGAAGGTCACCCAAAACATCATCTCCTTTTGTTCTTACAATGTGGGGCAGGAGAAACTGAGACATCCATCAGACTTACTGTATATCCTTGGGGAAGCCACTTCACCTCTCTGGGCCTCTGCTTCCTCACGTATACAATGTGGGCAAAACAGCCTACATGGGTCAATAGGTATTGACTGAGCCGACAAACGCCTCTCAAAGACTGTCACACCAAGTGATGGCTGCTCCAGAGCCTGGGGATGTCCCAAGAGGAGACCATCAGGACAGAGAGTAAACCACATAACATTTATAGGGAGCACAGCTGGGGCTCAACCGCCCTGTAAGAGGGCTGGAGGCTTAGGGACATCACTGCTTCAAGGACATCTTCCAGGAGCCCAGTGCCTGCATGATCCAGGAGCGCCGCTGGTGGGAAGTGGGCAGGTTCTCACAGCTGGGGCTCCAATGGTGCGTGGTGGCCGGGTCACACACCCCAGAGTCCCCGTGCAGCAGCCAGGAGTTCCGCCAGCAGCTGGCCAGGAGGTGGTCCTGAGCCTGGGCCGCATAGATGCACACTGATGCTTCTGGGTCATGTCTCAAGTTTTCCAGAGCTGCGTCATGGGGAAGGGAGATGCTTCCTGTTAAGACCTACATGGGTCTCGTACCTAATCCTTCTCATCTCCATGCCTTGGCTTAAGCACCCTCTGCTCGGCATCCCCTCATCTCGCTTTCCTCCCAGCCCCTCAAATTATTCACATTTTTTCAGAGCCTGAATCAAAACCTGCCTCCTCCAGGAAGTCTTCCTGGACTGTCCCAACCTGCTTTAATGCTTTCATCAGATTCCATAGTTACAAAATGAGTCAGTCCCCACTCAAGAGTCTGAACTATTCACTCTGCACTAAATGGCTTTTGGTCTCGCTTTTGAGCCTCATTTCCTTAATGAGATTGTGAGCTCCCATAGGGTGGGGCTGTTGTTTTGCCTCTTGGTAACCTGGTGATACTTAATGCTATACTCACCCTGGATTAAAAACTAGTAATATTGCCAGGCACGGTGGCTCAAGCCTGTAATCCCAGCACTCTGGGAGGCCGAGGCGGGTGGATCACGAGGTCAAGAGATCGAGA